CATTATTTGATGGTCTACCGTGTCAAATGCCTTGGTTAGATCGATGAACACGGCCCCGCAAAGCTTTCCTTGTTCCATGTTTAAGAGCACTTCATCAGCAAATGAGGTCAAAGCTGTTGTAGTTGAGAAACCCTTCCGGAAACCAAACTGCTTGTTGGACAATAAATTATTGGTAATCAAGTACTGATACAACTGCAAGTGTACCGCTCTCTCCAAAATCTTGCTTAGTGTAGGGAGGATTGAGATGGGGCGGTAGTTGGAAACGTTGGTCCTGTCACCTGACTTAAACAATGCCGTGATTTTCGCGCATTTCCACAATTTGGGAAATTGACTAGTGCGAATTGAAAGATTCAAAAGTTTAACAACAGATGGTGCAATTGTGTGAGCTGAGATTTTAAGAAGTCTCGCGCTAATTTTGTCAAGACCAATCGCTTAGTTTGCTTTCAATGACAAAAGCTGCTCAAGCACAAATGACTGATCCAATTCAGTCAACTCGAACTGGAAAAGCGGGTGTTTTGAAATGGAATTTAAATTCAAGACGGAAGTCTGTATTCTACTTGCTAGAATTCGGCCAATGGAAGCAAAGAAGCTAGCTATTCATTGAAGAAGCAATGGATTGGGATGTTATATGCTGAACACCATCAGAGATAATACACTAAATACTCTCTGAAGATGAGTTCCGATTGCATGCTTCGTTCACTGCTTTCCACACCTTATCTGAGTCACCCTTGGCTTCCTCGATCATGTCACAGTAATATTTAGACTTGGCAGTTCGTACTAAGCCATTAACCTTGTTCCTAAGCTTTGCATACATTGACCAATGACGCGCCGAGTTCGATTTTCGCGCCTTTCTATGCGCCTAGTCACGTTCTTTCATAGAATCACTTATCTGACTCTTCATCCATGGAAGAGGTGTTCCCTTGACATGCCTTCTCTTTACTGGTGTGTGTTGATCAGCAACCTCCGAAAACATTTTATTCCACGTAAACAAGGCATCGTAGACGTTGTCCGCGTTTTCAACAATATGCGAGGGAATATTCCTAAGATCATCATTAAATAAAGTCGGATTAAAATTCTTATAGGAGCGATACTCGAGTATTCTCGGTTTAGCCTTTGTTGTAATACCAGCCAGGATTGTTCGTTTTTATTATTAATAAGTTATTATTATTATTATTATTATAATTGTTATTAATTCTTCACTAGTGTAGGGGTGTTAGTGTATTTTAATGTGTTCAAAACGTATGTTCAGGGAATTTGTGTAAAATAAATAGTAAAAATACAACGTAAAGGAGTAGAGTAACTAAGCATCCATTAATGTGGCTCTTAGCTTTTTTAGCCCCGGCCACGAGAAAATTTTTGTGCTGCTGAGGAACAGTGGTCGGGCTCTTGCGATCCAGAGCGCGGGAAAGTTTTTCATCTATGAACACTATGATTTGTCACCACTTGTAGTTCTGTCTTTTCTCTGTAAACTATTCGAGGCAGCTCTAAAACTGTTGAAAATATAGTTGAAAATACGTGCTTAATGCTAATTTTACTAATGTTTTCTTTGGCAATACGATCATAAAGTGCACAATTTGGCAGGTAAACTCGAGCGCAGCTGCCTTCAAGTAATTAAGCCCAGGCTTAGCAGATAAATATGAGGTAAAAAAAGTGCATATTCATCGAGTGTGCATAAACCACGCAGTTTTTATAACATTTGCTTCGATCGAGCAAAAAATGGAAAATTATGAAACCTAGAGTCTCGACTAAACTATAATGGGTTCTTCTTCAACAAAAACACAAGACTTGTTACTTCTTTTACCGCCTTTGATTTTTTTACGAACTTCTGTACTTGTTGGCTCCAATAATATTGCTCGATAACGTTGTGGCACTTCACAAGAAACCCCACTTCCCCGCTAAACTCATATCAATACCTGAGAAGTCTTTTGCGATTGGCTATAGGAGCGGCTTATTAGCATATATGGAACCTTCAAATCATTTACTTGGTAACAACAATTTTCCATTTTAAATGTCACCTTAAAGGGGGTTAAGGTTGGGTTGTCCAGTCTAACTAAGAATTAATAGATTCTTCTTCAACAAGAATACAAGGCTTGTTTTACTTCTTTTACTCCCTTTGATTTTTACGAACTTCTGCCGGTACTACAATTATATGTCAGTGGCACTTTACAAGAAACCCCACTTCCCCGCTCAACTCATATCAATGCCTGATCATGAGAAGTCTTTTGTAATTGGCTATGTATAGGAGCGGCTTATTAGCATATAGGAAACTTCGAGTCATTTACTTGGTGACAACGATTTCCTGTTTTAAATATCACCTTAAAGGGGGTTAAGGTTGGGTTGTCCTGTCAGTATAAAAAAGGAAAGCAAACAGAGAGAACAAAGTATTGGCTTCTATAACAGAATTTAAACAATGAGAGTGAGGAAGGTACTAAAATAACAGTTTGAAAATCATGTCAGACCAATTAGTCGATCCACCAAACCGAGGTGCTGAGCTTTTATTATTGGCTAAACTTTGCAATAAATTATTTATGAATGTGTGATTACAAATAAATACAACACGTGCTTAACAGCAGAAGCTACAACAATAGACAGTAAGAGTTACTAGAAGATATTTCATACCATTATCATTATTGGAATTTTTGTCGTTAACATTTCCCTTAAATTTTCAGTTAATAAATTTTCCCCTTGCATGAACGAATACTTTTGTACTTCTCCTGCCCACGCCCCTATAACGTTTCTAACGGTCCGCGGCCGAGTTTTATCCCAAACTCTTACAATACGTCACCTATGCTGTCATTTCTCGCACTCATTAAAACCTTCTCAGAGTGCTGGAGTACACTGATAGTCATGATATATGAAATATTTGCGAGCCAAACTGAGCACATTTTTGCGATCTACGCCCGTACAGAAGAACATTTTATGGGTCTTTTAAGAGTTTTTTGGAAATCAATTACTGCTAAATATGAACAAAAAAAAATCGGGGTTGATAGCACAGTACGCTTTAGACATATACATGGTGACATCAAAGTATATTAAAAAACTGCACGAGAAATGCACAGGCCTATCATGTAGCTACGGTGAGAAAACGATTCTCGGAAGAGAGAATCGAAAATACGTGCTTAACACCATTTTTAAACAGGTGTGTGAAATGTTATCGTTAGCAATACGATCATAAAGTACACAATTTGGCAGGAAAACACAGGAAGCAGGGTAAAAATAAATGCCTGCTATCATGTGTGCATGAAGCAGCCAGTTTTTATATTATTTACTTCTCGATCGAGCTAAAAACGGGAAATTGGAGTCTGCTGTCGGCAAAGGGAAACTAGCAGGTTCTTACTCAAGAGAAATAGACGAGGCTTGTTACTTCTCTGACTGCTTTTAATTGTTACGAATTGTTGGTTACAGTTTTATCGCTCGATAACGCTGTGGCAATCATTTTTATAATGACAGGAGTGACTCAAACGCTTTAAAACTCATATCAATGTTTGAGTAAGTCTTGTAATTGGCTAGGAAAAACTCATTAACATTGAACCTTCGAGTTATTTACTTTTTCAAATCGATTTTCTTTCTTAAATTTCACTTTCAATATTGGGTTGTCCAGTCAATATAAAACCAAGGAAAGCAAAGAGAGAGAACAAAGAATTGGTTTCTAAACAAAATTTAAACAATATCATACAGTAACCACTGAAGAGCATCCAGTTTTGTATAGCCCGCGCAAATGAAATCGGAGGATTGGACTTTTTTGGAAGTCTATAACCTCTGTTGCTTGCATTTTCATCGCTTAACAGTATATGCCAATACCAGGATTGTATTTTTTATGAAGTTATTATTATTATTATTATTATTATTATTATTATTATTAAATTCTTTACTAGTGTAGAGCTGTTAGTTCATTCTAATGTGTTCAAAACACTTATTTGAAAACGTATGTTGAGTTTGCGTCAAATAGATAGCAAAAATTGACAACGCCAGGCCAAGAACATTTTTAATGTGGCTCTTAGCGCCACGTGTAAGTGGGAAAGAGTCATCTGGGAGTGTTGTGGTCGAGAGGGCAGGAAATTTTCTCATCTATTGTAGTTTTGTCTCTTCTTGGTAAATCGTTTGAAACAGTTCCAAGACTGGATCGCCCGCCATTGTCTGTCGCCTTCTGTACAATGTAGACAACGCAGTATATGCATCGCGGGCATCAGTTAACTTTCAAACGTTATAAACTTTAATTTTTGTCCCCTTGCGAGGCCTTAGCACAATAATTGTTATTCATTAAGACCGACATGGCTTAAACTTCCTGTACGGCTTAAACTTCCTGTTTGGCTTAAACTTCCTGTTTAACGTTTTGGTACGTGTATTTTTTTTGCAATGGGCGAACGGCGTAGGTGCCACAAAAACATGCGGAGTTTTCTTTGCTCAAGTTCTTTTGACGAAGTAACCATTACTGTCAAACCTTGGGGTGACGCTAAAAATTCAACAGATCTTTATAATTGTCCGTTTTATTCCTTCCTTTTTTTCGGCAGAACCTCTTCTTTAACTTCGCGGTTCTGCAGTAATTAAGAGTTGTAAGTTGTACAGTTGTACTTCGCCTGCGTACGCCCCCAATAACGTTTCTAATGGTCCGTCCCTGAGTTTTATTTACCGCCCAACCTTTAACAATACGTGGCCTATGCTGTCATATTTCGCAGTTATGCCAGACTTATCCTCAGTTAAGTACACCAACGGCAGTCAACTCTTGGGGTGGCGCTAAAATTTCAAAAGATGTTTATAATTGTCCGTTTTATTCCTTTCTTTAACTTAGCGGTTCTTATTCGCGAGTGTTCCACGTACCTCTAAATCTTAACATATTCAGTCAAAAGCACATTTTTGCGACTTTCGACTGTACAAGAGCACATTTCATGAGTCTTTTATTTACTACTAAAAATACATTGATAGTCATGATACAGTTATTCGCGAGTGTTCCACGAACCTCGCACTCTTAACTCTTCAACCAAAACCACATTTTTTGCGACCTACGCCTGTACAAAAGAACATTTTATGAGTCTTTTAAGAGCTTTTTGGTAATTACTGCTAAACATGAAACAGATAATCGGGTTGATAGCACAGTACGCTTTAGCCACATAAGCGGTGACTCTATATAGTTTTCACTAAGTCTCTAATTGCCCCGAATACAACAAAAACAATCCAAATCAGTATTTTATTTCATCTGAAAAATGCTGTACAGTGAAACATGCACGTGTCAGTCATTATTATGTCAGGTTAGCAACACAGAGGAGAGGCACAGATAAGAACCAGAATTCTTCAGGCTAAGATTTTGAAAGAACCAGATGAAGTAGAAATGTTAAAACAGATCGCTATGGAGTTCTTAAAGTCCACTAATCATTCTAATGGCAAAAAAAGTTTCTATTGGCTTAAATTGCAGTCATTTAGACATAACAACATGCATATTTTGTACAAACATTTAAAACCACCAACATTCTTCCAAAAAGTCTTTTTTCCTTAAGAAAATAAGAACCTCGAATGTTTGAGAACCTAAACAGCTTAAGAGGCTGTCCGCGTAAGAACCGATAAGGCAAATTTCGGTCCATCACGGATTTCCCTGATTTTTTTAGTGGAAGATAACTATCCTATCACATGAAGAAATATCACATTTATTTGGACCAACTCAAGTTTTTGTCTATTTTAGAGGAAGATTTTCTCGGTCACCTAAAACTAGCCAGTTTGCCGTCGGACGTGGTGCGATTTTGGTGAAACTTTAGGGCTCTGTCAAACCTACCTTACATAGCCGAATAAACTGATTATTTTACACACAAAAGTTTTAACTCTGATTAATAGCTTCAAGGTTTAATGGTTGCATTCTGTGGAAAGTTGGCTGAGATATGATTTTTTTAAAATGACCTTTAATTTGCTCCGCAGGAAAAGTAATTTGCATAACTAGAGCTGAACGGTAATTTCGCAAAAGTGGCACCTGACCCAGACTCAAGTCTATGATAAATCAGAAGTACTAAGACCAGTCTACTTCTTAATGCAATAAAATTTGTGGGCACTCTTCTCTGCGCGGTGTACAAAGTTCCGTTAATGTTACAAAATTCGCCATTTTGACAGCAAAGCGGGAATTGTAACGGTCCGCATCAGTGATCGACTAATTTCCACAGTTTTAACGTTTCTAGTTATCACCAAATGTCATTAGACCCTTTAAATGTTGGACTTTTGAAAACATGAGGAGAAAACTTGGTAATCGCTTTTTCTTGTTTTTTTTCCTTGTCGACGAGAACGCGACTTCATTCTCCGTATGCAAATTAGCCATAGATGCGTCGTTTGAACAAATTGACAGGAAACATAACTGCTTATATTTCACATTTTTAAGGGAAAAATATCTCTTCTTTCCACGGAAAAACACGAACGATATATGACTTAGAATCCCCTTAGGTCTGTTTCTTTTAAGGGAAGAAGCAGTAGAAGAAGATATGTTTACGCGAATTAAATAATTTAATTACTTTGGCCCGTCACGCATTCCCAGAGAGTGGCCGTGTATATATCGATACGGTTCTTTTATCTGATTAAATTTTTTTTGGAAGTGATAGTTATTGATAATCATACAATTTAATCACTGTTACTTCCGATTCTTTGCTGGGTGGGAAATACCGTGCTGTTGTATTTATTCATTCTACGACCGTTTTAACTGAGTCAGTATCCCCGGGCGCCACCGTGAGGATAGGGTTTGGACAGCATGGAGTAATACACGACAATTAGCTACAAAGTAGTCACTTGGACACGACCACCCTTATTCACGAGCACTAGCACAATATTTTCAGTTACAGAATTAACAATTAATATTTTGAAATAGCTCGCAAACAACTTCAGAAACACCGTGCGACACCACACGACCACAGCTGCAAAGTCCTTTAGGCCCCACATTTCCTAGATCCCTAGCTAACTATAGGCTACCCTACAAACTTTAGGGTGGTATTAACAGAGCATTGTGTTTATCGCCAATTAACAACATTTCAGTAAAAGTGAGGAATGGCATGCAGAAAAAGGCATAGTTATTGTTTGCAGTCCGTCTCCTGTCAAATTAATCCCAAAAGTTTTTGCCGGCTGTTAATCACCCTAAATTAAGGATCCCTATGTTCACTCCTGAGCTGGTGGAGAAAAGCACGTGCAATCTTGTATGAAAGATCTTTCCCTGGATTTGAATGGTATTTCAAAGTGACACATAATTTTTTGAGTATTGCCACGCTGAAATGACTAGATTGTTCTTCCTTTGACATTACACATAGATTGAAAGCTTCTGGTTGAGGGTGTTGTGGTCTCAATTCTTCAGCGATTTCTGCAACAAGGTTTTCCCTTTCGAACTCCTCGTCTTCTTGCAACAGATCTCTATGGTCAAGTTCAACTTGTATACACTTAGGACTATGTTTACGTGTTGACTCAAACGGGCCTTTTAGTCCAACATGGGCTGGGAATATGTGAGCACGGAATTGGGACGGGGGTGGGGGGAACTCACTATGATGGCCTATACGGGGAGGTTCCGCCCGAAAGGAGTATCTTTTTCAGGCTTAAGGTATATGAAAGGATGGGCATTTCACTAGATGAAGTATATAAAAGGGCCAGTGCGCTTATTGCAGCCTTAGCAGCATCTTTGGCGGTTCTTAAAGAAAAAAGAACTAAGTTTAAGAATTTAAGGAAAAAGTAGACGGACTTAATTTTTCAGAAATTAATATACACGGGAGAAATTTCACCCCCTTAAGTACAAATGCTTGTAAAAGTAGAGGTGGAACAGTGGGGAGAGAGCGTGGATGGTAAAGTAGGTTAAAAATGGAGAGATGAGATGGAGCACATTGTTCAAAAGGGTATAAATACAAAAAAAAAAAAACACCAATCTGGAGGCATTTTTGAAGACTTAATGAAAACGTTATCAAAACAAGAAAAACAGAGAAATCTTGTCCAATAAACCTCTCCGGCAAATGTGTGGACATGGTTGCTGACTGTTCAATCGTACTCTTCTCGACCCTTCGGCGTCAAGTTTTTTCAAGTTTCTTGCGACAGGAGGAGCTGAACACTAAGGTACTTTTAAGTCTCACTAATTTTTACAAAACCAAAGACATGTTTTAAACACTGTTTAAGTTCCAAAAAATTGTTTTTATTGCAAGAATGGAATACTTTTCATACACGTGAACGACACCTCGACCACAATCACTCCTAGCCTCGTCCCCAGGACATTCTTCTTAGAAAATGGCAGGGGCGGGAAAGCCCTGGGGATGAGGTTGAATCCTGACTCCGTGTAGAAAGTTCTTTTTTTCCCATTTATAATGCTCTTCAAACAATCATCAGAAAACTATCTTTTACAACACACGGATTAACCGGTATGTATAGTATTTTAAAGGTAAGAATTGATTAGGGCAAGATACACGGCTGTCAAAAAAATAGAAATAACAAAAACTATCTTGCAAGCTCAAATAAACTGGAAACGAACTTCAGAAAACATCGCAAGATAAAATGTTAAATAGAGAAATTAGAATATCTCTGTACGTTAAGAAAATTTTTTGCATGAAAAATAAAAAAGAATGATACTTACGTAATGGAACAAAACTTTGACTTATTTCGCTGGCTATATCTGGAAATTTACGACATGTCTTCCTGCCACAGAAGTTATTTTGCCAGTATAATTCAGAGTGTGACCGGGGTATTGACAAGACCTTAGGCTCGATTTCCGCCGTCTCCCCGTCCGTTGGGTTTCATTTTCCAGAACAGCGGCTTACGATAGAGCCTAACAAGACCTTGGCGCCCGCAAAAACCTGCCAAGCAGGTGTCTGGGCAGATTGTCATTTAAGTGTTAGCCTGTGTACACACTACACCCCCCCCCCATCCTCGGAGAAGGGGCCCCTTCTCCGATTTTTCCTGAGGGGAGAGGGGTCTGTACACAGGCTATTTAGTGTCTGTGCCTTGGGCAGATTGTCATTTTCAGTTCCGAATACCAACCAAGCCTCGAATACGTACTCTCGCTAAAATGAGTTCATTTTCATTGTCTTTGCTACACTTGCTACACTTAGACAAGTGACAGCTCGCTCAGTGCGACGTAATATCATCCATGCACTCTGTGACCAACACATTTTCCTCCACACCCCTACTGGGACCTCACTCTGTCTACAATCTCGCGGAAGAACTGCTTGATGAAATAGCCGAAAAAGCCATTTTTCACAATTGATCTCTTCGGCGATTTTATTGACATAATAATCTTTGAAACTGGCACCTGTTGCGTTATAATTCAATCAGATTGAAACCAAAACAAGATCATCGCTGGAATTCGGATGTTATACCCTAACAGAAACTAAAAAGATACTCCCTTTTGCGTTTATTCACTGAAAAAAGGCACTATTTTTCCCGTTTCATTCTGATAACGATAAACGCTTTAAAGATCTTTGAATGAAACTGAAATTTACTGCTAATTTAAGATAGGAAAAGTGTGGGGCATTTTTTTTTTTGTTATAGTGCCATGTACAAAGATCTATCTTCTCCTGATAAGCAAATATCATACTAAAGCTTTCGACTTTAACGCTATTTTTTAAGGCACGCAAAAAAGAGTGCCCAAAATTTTTCGTGTGCTGACAAGAGGACTTACCTTGCAAGTGAACTCTTATTTTTTATTATCAATAACTATCATTTAAAAAAAGATGATAATATTATAGAATTGATCAACACAACGGTATTGTTTTCTAATCCACCACCCCTCTTTAGGAATGCGTGACAGGCGACAATAATTGAATTATTTTGAGCCACGCAAACATATCTCATGATATATTACTCAGCTGCTTCTTCCTCGTTAAAAAAAAAACAGACCTTAATGGGATTTTAAGTCATGGTTTGTGTTTTTCTGTGGAAAGGAGAGTTATTTTTCCCCTTAGAAATGTGAAATGAAAGGTTATATTTCCTGTCAATTGGTTGAAACAACGTACTAAGGCTAATTTGCATACAAAGAATGAAGTCACGTTCATCGTCGACAAGAAAAAGACCCAAGGAAAAGCGATTACTAAGTTTTCTCCAGATGTTTTCAAACGTCCAACATTTAAAGGGTCTAATGACATTTAGTGATAACTAGAAACGTTTAAGCTGTGGAAATTAGTCGATCAGATGCGGACCGTTACAATTCCAGCTTTGATGTCAAAATGGCGAATTTTGGAAAATTAACGGAACTTTGCACGGCACGCACAGAAGAGTGCCCACAAATTTTATTGCATTAAGAAGTAGACTGGTCTTAGTACTTCTGATTTATCATAGACTTGAGTCTGGGTCAGGTGCCACTTTTGCGAAATTACCGTTCAGATCTAGTTATGCAAATTACCTTTCCTGCGGAGCAAATTAAAGGTCATTTTAAAAAAATCATATCTCAGCCAACTTTCCACAGAATGCAACCATTAAACCTTGAAACTATTAATCAGAGTTAAAACTTTTGTGTGTAAAATAATCAGTTTATTCGGCTATGTAAGGTAGGTTTGACAGAGCCCTAAAGTTTCACCAAAATCGCACCACGTCCGACGGCAAACTGGCTAGTTTTAGGTGACCGAGAAAATCTTCCTCTAAAATAGACAAAAACTTGAGTTGGTCCAAATAAATGTGATATTTCTTCATGTGATAGGATAGTTATCTTCCACTAAAAAAATCAGGGAAATCCGTGATGGACCGAAATTTGCCTTATCGGTTCTTACGCGGACAGCCTCTTAATTTCCAAAAAACAGAAAATTCATAAGAGCCTTTTGAGGCTAACTTCGAAAATCACCTATTACTTAGTCGTTACTGTATACTACTAAATGTAAGAGCAGGGGGGGGGGGGAGGAAGAGTTAGGGTTAGGGTTAAGGTTAAGGTTGGGGTTAGGGTTAGGTTAGGGTAAGGACTAGGGATAGGTTAAGGTTAGAAATCAGATTAGGTCGAGGTTGGGGGTTAGGGTTAGGAATAGGTTAGGGTTAGGTTGGAGGGTTAGGGTTAGACGAGCAGTCTCAACTGATTTCAATGGTCATAACACATGAGTTGATCCACTGAGTTAAACGTTCGCCTTGTCAGGAAAAGGGTGTTACGTTAAGCTGGTTAGGGTGGATAGCTAAAGTTGAGCCAAGGCTTAGGGTTAAATAAGGATAAAGGTTACAAACAAGAAGTACGGTTTGTTGAGGGTTAACGTGTGAGGGACTTCTGGGCAGGATACCAAATAACGTTGCGTTACATATCAATTACATCGCCGTACTGAGCTTAGGATTGAATTTCAAAAGACGGGTCAGGAGGTGAGAAATACAGAGATGTAGTTTCAATACAGGCGATTTTCGAAGACTAAACACTGGTCAAGCAAATACTTTTACATTAACGTTATCTTACAAGACGTTTCGCTTCGCTTTCTTCGTGTTTGACCACAGCAGAGCACAGATAACATAAAAATTTCAGAGAGTAAATATTCCAGCTCCGATGGGGCGAGTAAAACCAACGGCCACATCTGAAAGAAAAGGACAAAAGGAAAACCTTGTTTAAAGAAAATTCCTCAACACGTGTTTAAAAAGTAATATATCTCTTCTACATCATTTTCCCTAGATCAGTTTCATCCCGCCATGGTTTTATAATCGCCCGTACCGGTGCATAAAGCAGATTAAAAACGTTGTACCGAACATTCCGGACAATCAAGCATAAACGGCGCTCGTCGTCGCCACGGTGCTATAGCGCGGGAACTTTAACATGCTTTGAGGAAAAATAGTTACTCTTCCGCGATCCGATCAGCATTTAGCTTGCAATGCCAACAATAAATTGAAAATGAACGACAATTCAGCCTGTGCAGTAGGACGGCGGCTCTTTTTGGACACAGTAAATTTCCAGAGTCGCTCGACACATGACCAAAAATAAACCTTCGCTGTACGAAACCACAGACTTTGATTTCAACTACACTTTCACGACTTTGTAACATAACCTTTCCTGGCAAAAAGCCTGCTACTCACCGTTGTTGCTCGCTTATTCAAAGATCAGCACCTCCGTCATAGAAACTGAAACACAACAACAGAACAGTCTCACTGTAATGGTCAAATATTAAACATGTTTTTAACCTTTCTCGCAGTGCATTCTGGGAAATCCGTGTTCAGCTCGTGCGGGACACATTACATCCTGGCAATAACAACACAATTTATAAGTCTCCAGCAAGGCAAAAATCACAAACAAAAACTTCGCTGGCCCTCTTTTCTTATGTCCAAACTAACCAATTTGCCCCTTATTGCCTGCTGGAGACTTCTTCACGGTGTGCAGAGCTGGGCAGAGACGTTATACACCATCCACCGGATGGTCTCTCGGATTGTGCCCGAAGCTCGGTTCTTTGAGCAACGAGCGCCCATTTAAGCCTTCCCGGACTTAATGATGTCCCAGGCACTTTGCAAACCGTGGAAATAGAATTTCTTGCCAAACTCGGCTCATATTAGTCCCCGTTTCGCACACGCTCCGATCAAAACCTCTCCACTCACCAAGAGAGCCGTTGAAAGGAGAAAGATACCGCGCAAACTCGAACCTTTCAAAACTAGAACCGGTTCCCCTTGGACAAAAAAAAAAAAACCGGAAGTCCTTTCTAACGCGAGTGAAAAGAAAACAAGAAATAAAATAAATAGTAAACTTACTTCTGTTGACTTCCACGCTGCTCCTCCCTGGTTTTCTTTAATGAAAAATATCTATGATAAAAAATGACATTTCATAAAATTAATTGACATATATAATATATACACCGTAATTTTTAGGGAGTTATTATAACTCCAAAAATGGAGTAAAAATTTTAGGTACAGGATAACCCCTTTTTTGGGGTTATTTTAAATCCTAATTTAACTCCGAATTTGGGGTCATTTTTACTCCTGAAAAAGAGTTCTTTTTACTCCCAGTCTTGGAGTTAAAATTACTCCGAAATGGGGTTACTTGTACTCCTTACAGGGGTTGTTTTTACTCTTTTTGGAGTTAATTCAACTCTGAAAGTGGAGTAAAAATTTTAGGTACAGGATAACTCCTTTTTTGGGGTTATTTTAACTCCTCAATATCTGGGGTCACTTTTACTCCTGAAAAAGAGTTCTTTAAACTCCTTTTTGAAGTTAAAATAACTCCACGAAAAATAACTCCACTGTAAGGAGTTAAATTAGCCCCACTAGAGGAGTTATTATAACTCCCTGAAAATTACAGTGTAGTATATCCAGAAACTACACGATAAATGCCTGAAAGTGTCCTGATACCGTGTGATTAAAGAGTTGATTGAGCCTGGTAAGCAGCAAAGCACAAACACTGTTACGATAGCGATGGACATTTGAAGCACGTTTCTGTTTCTTCTGTGCCGCTCTTGCTGTGAGTTGGAGGACTGTTCACCTGGGTGTAGCTGTGTCTTGAGCTTGATAACAATGATGGAGTAAAGAATGGCTAGCAACAGCGTAGGTATGAATATAACCAGACTGTAGGTAGCTAGTACGAAACTGGCAACGGATGAGGACTCTCCGAATAATTTCTCCCATTCAGCAACACACCAGGCTCTCTCTGGGTATTCAACGAGCTCGAAAATGAACAAGCATGGCGAATTGACCGCTACGGCAACTATCCATGTAGCGAGAATGAAGCAGGGACACAGTTTGGATCTGATGAGTGGGGAACGGAGTGGAAATACCACAGCTCCAAATCGATCCACTGCTATCAGAATCAGATTCTGAATCGAAACGACCAAGGAAACATTAGCAAAGAAAGGGACAAGCTTGCACAAGGCCTGGCCAAGCTTTCCCCCGATAAGAAACGAGTTGGTGTACAAGTCGGACAGGTTCCAAGGTATCACGAATATTGGATACAGCAAATCAGATGAGGCCATGTTTGCGATGAAATAATTTATCGGTTTTCTTAAGTTCGGCGTTTTATAAACGATCATAACAATGAGAGAATTTGCAGCCTGTGAAACGATAAAGATCAGACAGAGAGTAAGAGTTCCTCCAATTTTTGACGCAGTGGAATTTAGCTGATCGAAGCAGCTCCAAGACCCGCTGGATCCGTTCACCGTTGAGTTCATGCTGAGTTTTGCGACGTATCTACAGAGTCGTACACATGCAGTCAAGTAAGTTTGAATTACTGCTCTGTATATTGCGTATGCTGTTTGAGTGGCAGAACTTTTATTGACAATTGCAAGCCCTCTGCGAAGCCACAGCACAGCTGTCCTCTGAGGCCTTCATTAAGTGAGTTTGTTAATGTTCCGGCATTATCCGCCAACCGACCTTTTGACAGAATTGAAACAGTAGGATATTAAAATGTTATAAACCATCCAGAACACTTCATTTAGGTCATGTGGTTGTATTAAGAAATCGATTGAGACTGATTAAACAAGTGTTTTAACACATTAAAAAATGATATCTTTGGTAGTGTATCATCAACTACACAAGTTTGACAGTTAACCACAGGAAGCAGAGGCGAATTCGAAGCTGCCTTCAGTCCATTAAGCCCAGGCTTAACAGGTGAACATGAGGAAAAAATAAGTGCATATTATCACGTGTGCATAAAACATGAAGTTTTTACAACATTTACTTCTCGATCGACCTAAAAAGGAAAAAAACCAAAAGTGTTTTGTCGGCAAAGAGAAACTAGCAGTTTCTTCTGACAAGGGCTTGTTCAGACTCCCTTTGACTGCTCAGTTTTAATTGTTACAAACTTCAGTACTTGTTGACTACAGTTGTCTTTTTCGATAATGTTGTGGCACTTCATTTTTATATAATGACCAGAAAACCCACCCGCTTTAATACCGTAAATGATCTCATAGACGCCTAGGACGTTTAATAATTTTAGGGTTCCAAGAGTCGTTTAAAAGATGGCAGTTTATTGTCATTTATGTAGCAGCCTAATTTTCAAAACTAATATGCTTTCGGCGGAAATGTCAAGAGAGGAATATCCTGTCTATCAATTGTTACGCCTAGCTAGGCCGTCTAGAGATCCTTATCCGCGCTGGTTCAAATCTCAACTTCTATATATGTCAGAATCCTAGTTAAGGGTCAATGTAATGTCATCTCTAATCAATTCGAACTTTTACATGATATGGAACTTTAAAGCACTGAACAAGATGCAATGCTCAAAGTCATGTTAATCAAGCAGGCAACTGAATAATTTGAACGATTTGGCTCTTTTTTGCTAATTTCTAATAATTTTTGAAATAATTTTCACGGGGGTGTCTACAAGACAAAGAGTGTTTATTAGCGAGGGCGTCTACTGCAAACATAATATCATAGAATTGAAAGGGGGTATCAGTTTAAGTCATTAGATCATTTATGGTAACTCATCAATGCCTAAGTAAGCCTTTTGTACTTTGCTAGGAGAGACTCATTAGCATTGAACCTTCGAGTTATTTACTTTGTCTGAAAGAATTCTTTCTTAATTTCTATTTTAAGCCCTTTAAAAGCTTTGGTTGCCCAGTCGAAATAACACGGGCGGGGGAGCAACGAGAGAAACAAAGCATTGGCTTTTAAACAAAATTTAAACAATAACAGGAAGAAAGGTATTATCAAAATTACAGTTTCAAAATCATGTCTGTTAGTCGATCTATAGAAGGTGTTAATCGAAAATAAATTGGCTAGACTTTTGCATAAATTAACTATGGACAGATCGAGTCAATTTCCTTTCATATGGAACGGTGCAGACCATTTACTCCTGAACCCTTTAAGCTTCCATATTTTAATTAAGTGATTATTTGGTAAGCGGCAAATTCAGGAAGGATAGATCTTTCCACAGAAGGCGATACGTGCCAGACAACAGAAGTTACAACAGTAGATGTTTAACTTAATCTTAACTAAGAATAACTAGGAGATGGCATACCATCATTATTATTATTTTTTTTTATCTTTGTTTCATTTAAAAATCATCAACTGCTTAAATTCGATCGACGACAAGGAAAAACTAACACACTAGCAAACATAGAGAAGTAATTTCCGTAAAATTCAGATCACGACGAAAGGTATTTTAAGATCGACTATCGAGGAAGCGTAACGAAGAGCTGTTAGTGTATTTTAATGTGTTCAAAACGCCCGTTTCAAAACGTATGTTCAGGGAATTTGTGTAAAATAAATACTAAAAATACAACGTCAAGAAGTAGAGTTACTAAGTATCCATTAATGTGGCTCTTAGCTTTTTTAGCCCCGGTCACGAGGAAATTTTTGTGCTGCCTGCAGAGGAACAGTGATCAAGCTCTTGCGATCCAGAGGGCAGGAAAGTTTTTCATCTATGATGAACACTATGATTTGTCACCACTTGCAGTTCTGTCTTTTCTCTGTAAACTGTTTGAAGCAGCTCTAAAACTGTTGAAAATATAGGTGAAAATACGAGCTTAATGCTAATTTTACTAATGTTTTCTTTGGCAATACGATCATAAAGTGCACAATTTGGCAGTTAAACTCGAGCGCAGCTGCCTTTAAGCAATTAAGCCCAGGCTAATTAGCAGATAAATATGAGGTAAAAAAAAGTGCATATTCATCAAGTGTGCATAAAACATGCAGTTTTTATAACATTTGCTTTTCGATCGAGCAAAAAATGGGAAATTATGAAACCAAGAGTCTAGACTAAATTATAATGGGTTCTTCTTCAACAAAAATACAAGACTTGTTCCTTTTTTTGACCGCCTTTGATTTTTTTACGAACTTCTGTACTTGCTGGCTCCAATAATATTGCTCGATAACGTTGTGGCACTTCACAAGAAACCCCACTCCCCCGCTTAACTCATATCAATACCTGAGAAGTCTTTTGCGATTGGCTATAGGAGCGGTTTATTAGCATATATAGAACCTTCGAATCATTTACTTGTTGAAAACGATGTCCTATTTTAAATATCACCTTAAAGGGGGTTAAGTTTGGGTTTTCCAGTCTAACTAAGAATTAATAGGTTCTTCTTCAACAAAAATACAAGGCTTGTTACTTCTTTTACTCCCTTTGACTTTTACGAACCTTCTGCCGCTAGTACAATAGACCTATTCGGCTAACTCAATGTTGTACCCAATTCAAACCCTTTGGGAATAAAACTTTTTGTTTCAGGAATTTCCATACATTTAAATGAGAATGCCACATTATGATGCAAATACAATACACAATGAATCTTAACCCCGGGAGATTTGAATTGGGTACAACATTGAGTTAGCCGAATAGGTCTATTATATGTGGCACTTTACAAAAAACCCCACTCCCCCGCTTAACTCATATCAATACCTGAGAAGTCTTTCGCGATTGGCTAGGAGCAGCTTATTAGCATATATGGAACTTTCGAATCATTTACTTGGTGAAAACGATTTCCTGTTTTAAATATCACCTTAAAGGGGGTTAAGGTTGGGTTGTCCTGTCAATAGAAAATAAGGAGAGCAAACAGAGAGAACAAAGCATAGGCGTACGGGAAATTTTTTGCCAGGGGGGGGCGGTAAACAATTTGCCCAAAAAATTCTCGCAAGTTGCCCGAATTTTTACGAAACGTACAGTCGAAAAGAAACGAGGGTCATACGATGCAACAACATAGGCCGCACTGGGATATGAAGGTGGCTCGATACTGTAACAGTTTTTCAGGGTCAATACCTCCCAATTCTGAGCATAACTACGTCGCCACAGACAAACATTTGGAAAAATTGCCACCACAGTTTTATTAAATAAAGATGAAAATTTGTCATGATCAGGAATGCAATGACATCGGAGTTGTCATAGCAACGAAATGAGGCGGCCATTACCTATATTACTTGCAGTAATATTTCTCGGCACAGGCAACTGTTCTTACAAAATCGTTCACGGAAGCTTTTTCCTGAAATAGTCGCCTCGACGTTCGTGAAGTTAAAACGGACACTGTGAGAGTGTTATTGAGATATTTTGGAATGAAGTTTTTATCGTTAGAAATAGGGTAAGAAAGGAAAATCTTGATGTTTGGCCGTTATCGAACTGAGAACTAGTCAGCCACTTCTTCATTTTCAGACCCATTGCTGATGCTATCTGCCATACACTATTCTACGAGCGGGAGATGATTCTAGAAAGATATGCGGGAGTTTATTCTGATGAATTCACGACAGGAAAGAGCCTATTCCACTTAGTGCAGTGCAGTACAATGCTCAAAAGTAAAAAACTATAAATATGTAAATCAACGTATGATACCCTTTCCTAATAACCAGAAACTCATCACGTGCTAGCCAACCAATGTCTCGAGAGAATGTAACTGGATTATTACGCCGACGTCAGGATTTTTGTCAGATTAAAATATAAAATATTTATCTCTTCAAAATAATAATTAAAAAAACATGGAAACGTCTTGAAACCCTGTCTTTGCCCAAATTTTCTCTTGCTGCCCAAAAAATCTGAGTTGCCCAAAATTTGGGGGGGGGGGCTGCAGCCCCCCTTGCCCCCCCGGCCCGTACGCCTATGGAACAAAGTATTGGCTTCTAAACAGATTTTAAACAATGAGAGCGAGGAAGGTACTAAAATAACAGTTTGAAAATCATGTCAGATCAATTAGCCGATCTACCGAACCGAGGTGTTGAGCTTTTTTTATTGGCTAAACTTTCCAATAAATTATTTATGGATGTGTGATTACAAATTAAAAATGCAATACGCGCTGAACAGCAGAAGTTACAACAATAGACAGACAGTTAAGAGTTACTAGGAGATATTTCATAATTCAAAGTTACTTGACTGCATGTGTACAATTCAGTAGATACGTCGCAAAGCTCAGCATGAACTCAACGGCGAACGGATCCAGCGAGTCTTCGAGCTGCTTCACTCAGTTAAATTTCACAGCGTTGAAAATCGGAGGAACCGTTGCCTACTGTCTGTTCATTATCGTTTCACTGGCCGCAAATTCTCTCATTGTTACGATCGTTTATAAAACACCGAACTTAAGAAAACCGATAAATTATTTAATCGCAAACATGGCCTCATCTGATTTGCTGTTTCCAATATTCTGGATACCTTTGAAACTGTCAAACTTGCATACCAACTCGTTTCTTATCGGGGGAAAGCTTGGTCAGGCCTTTTGTAAGCTTGGCCCCTTCTTTGGAAACGTTTCCATTG